AAATCGATGTGTTAAAATATTTTCTGTTGCTAAGGTTTAATCTTTTGTTGTGTTATCTTTTGTTGTGTTATTTTAGGTTTTTGGCTTAGCGGCTTTGCGGTTTACAAATCTCCCTTATCAAAATTGGGAAATGAAGCCCGGAGCTGACGGGTATGTGATAAAATTTATATTTAGATTTTATTTTTGCATACATTGATTATTATTGATTTATTAATCGGATTTGTGAAACTAGCACTAGCACTTTATTGGTAAAAAGATTTATGTTATAATTTCAATTAAGTGTTACTTGTTGTATTTTATATATCCAATGTCCATATACATAAATGTGTGATCTTACTCATAATTCGGATCTAAGATGTTTATTTTAATTCGACAATTTTAATGCTCAAATAAGCATTATTTATTTTTTAATTTAATATTTAATTAATTATAATAAATTTAATTTAATTGTCTCTTTTGGGAAAGTTAACTGTTGTGGTGTTTTATAGCTAAATTCGTCCATCTATCAACTTTTTTAATAATATTTGTTTACTATTATCCCTTAACTATATTATATATAACTTTAATTTCATAATGTTTGTAATAATATTTAATTATTTTACTTTCTAGAAATGGTATATTTTTTTCACTAAACGCTTCAATTGTTAGTATTGATTTCTCTATAAAATCAGAAGGTGTGGCTTTATTAGAAGTTCGGGTAAGTATTATAAAATATTTTATAATAAATTTACTGATATATATATATATATATATATATATATATAAATTTACTGATATATATATATATATATATATATACGAGGTCTGTTCAAAAAGTACCCGGAATTTTCGTTTTTTCAAAAAAATATTTATTTATTCGTCTACATTAATGTGGTCCCCTTCAAAGTAGTCCCCCCCAGATATAATACACTTATGCCAGCGTTTTTTCCAATTTTCGAAGCACCCTTGATATTCACTTTTTGATATGTCCTTGAGCACTCTCAGCGATTTTCTTCAATCGAGGAAAACCGCCGTCCTTTCATGGGTCTCCTTCAACTTTGGGAATAGGAAAAAGTCACACGGAGCCATATCTGGTGAATTTTTGCACTTTGCAACACTTTATTTCATTTTTTACGCAAAATTTAATACAAATTCTTTGACTTTTCAATTCTTCCATTGTAAAAATCGCCGAGCTCAGAAAAACACGTCGAACCTTAGCGACTACCACAGACAAAGTAAACAGTGAATATAGCTGAAAATTTCATCATACTTTAGGGGCATGTATACCAACACAATAAAAAAAAAATTTTGACAATCAGACACTCCAGACCCGCGAAATTTAATTATTAGTAATTCCGGGTACTTTTTGAACACACCTCGTATATATATGTGTGTGTATATATATATATTTAATTATCATTTCAGAATGCTCCTAGTGATTATCTTAATCAATATTACGGGCAAGTATATTCATTGCAAAAATTAAAAAAGGTAAAATAAATTTATATGATTAATATAATTTTATAAGTATTTTTGGTTTTATAATTCATTTTGCTCATATTACTTTTATTTCTACAGATTATGAGAGATGCTTGTGTTGACGTTTTTCCTGAACATGATTCGTATGCCTATGTAGAAGGTATAGTATGCAAAATGAAAAGTAAAGAAAACATTGTTTTATCAATTAAATATACCCATATATGACTGTCAAATTGTATCGTAATGTTACTGAAATCTAATAGATTTTAATTTCCCTTTTTTAGACAATTGTTGTAAGCATCGTCCAATGGAACGTCATCTCTATCATAATATGGCTTCACTTGGATTGTCCCACAATTTTAAATGGAGCAGGTGGAACCAGGGTGCTGGAAGGCGTCGTGCCGTTCTTTTAGTCAGGGAAGTTCTAGGAAAAAAGCATCTGGTAAAGTTTTTAATGAACCTATGTTGTATTTTAAATACTTATGCAAAATTAGAAAAATTCTCTTACATTTCACTTCGAGCAATATTTCTCATTTTTAAATAACTGCATATAACAATTTTATGTCTAGCGTAGCAAGAAGTCAAGCATGTTATTATAAATTCATGTGCTAGTTTCAAATAAATGATCATCAGTAAAAACAATTTGATTGTCAAAAGTTCCAGAATTTGCATCACACCAAACAAGTCTGATCAAGACATTGAGATTTTTTCTGCCATTTATTTCAAACAAATCAATAGAATTTTTTCTTTTAGCCTGGATTTAGTACCCTGCTCATAACCCCATTGAACGCTACTGTGGTAGATTGTGATGAAGGTTCACAAGAGTTTATTGCCACACCGCATTCTAAATCAGAAGGGGTAAGTTAATTGAAAGAAATTTTCCTTAACAATTAATTTAGTAAAATAAATGTACTAAGTTGCATTAAAATTTAAGGACAGTTTAGAGAAAGCGAACAAAGTCGTAGACAAGTCCAGTACAATTAAGATGATACAATTAAGATTCATGCTACATGCTTGAATGAATTCAATTATCTATAATTGAATAATGTTTTCAAAGTTTAGTCTTTTGAGAAAATTAATTTCATAGCGCCTAGACAAACGTTTTTTGCTATTATTTTGCATTAATACAGAATAATATAAATGATTATAGTTTTATCCGGACTTACACCAACTTGCAATTGGAGTGATCGCCTCTCCTTCGTCGAGGAAAAAAAGTCAAGAAACGCCACCTCAACTTATACATCATTTGGCAGAATTTCTTAAAGACGTCAGCGTTATGAGTTACTGTTAAGAGCAGTATTTATAAATTTAATTTTGTAATTATTTATTAGATCGATATGTTGCAGTAATTTCTAAATAAAGTTTTATCTTTTTACAAATTTAATTATATAATAAATTAGAGTCTAAGGTGTAAGTTACCAATCATTTGCTTGAATTAAATAAATTTACTAACAGAACTAATAATAATCTTAATAATGGCATTGAAGTTAAAATTTTATAAAAATGACTATATAATAATTGTGGTTTTTTAAGCGTTGCATTACGGTTTTCATAGATAAAACAAATAACTACTATGGCTACATTAGACTTTATACAATTAGACATAAATTGAGTTGAAATAAGTAATTCAAATTAGCATTAAAAAATAAAAGGCTATATAATGTGACAATATTCGACCTCATTTTTTTGTTTATGGTAAACGCCAAAAACAAAACAAAATAGAATCACATATTTAACATCTTAAAAATGGCATATAACTTAAATTCAAAATTTTAGTATGCCTTAAAAATATATT